AGACAAATGAATGGCATAAAAAATGCAAATTTAATTTGTAAGGGCATAGTTTATGCCATAGACATACATCGCAAAGCTTTGAAGTATATATAATATTATTAAACCTGTAAATTAATTTCAAATAAATTATACTCAACTTATGTAAACTTTTCTTCAAAAACTTTGGTTTAAAAATTTATAATTACATTTTATTATAATTTTTGACAATGATTTAACATTAATATTTAATGTCGGAAAAAAGATAATTAAGAAATAAATAATAAAATGCTAATATCAGTTTCAAATTTAACTTATTCAGAACTTATTCGGAAATAATCACGGAATTTATCTTTGAATTTATTTTTATATTACGACATATATTGTATATATACACAACTACTATACTAATATTTTTTCTTTGAAGGATTGTCCAAATTTTTGAATCATCATTTAATACGACATTTTTTGTTATGATATTAAACGGATTAGTTTTTGCGAGCCTTAATCTTTATCGAGTAAGTTTGAATTTTTATTTTTTTAAGTATACTTTCAAATAAATAGCTCGCATTCCAGATTTTTCGAGAAATATCATCTGGATATATTGGCGAAAAAATGATACAATGCTTCATAATATTGAATATTCATTATACATACACATTCCTTTCTACCAATATTGCGCAACAAATTATAGATCATAACAATAGCATATTCGTTACAATGTAAGAAATATTTTTATGTGAAAATTAAAATTTTTGCAATACAAGTTAGAGTTAATAGTACAAAATTTGTAGCAAAAGCTGAAATTTTTCATAACTATACATGACAAAACAACTATATATTATATACATATATATTTACAAGATAATTAAAAATATCTATGAATTATTTTATCATTATAATATTATCATATAATATTATCATATATATTATCGATATTGATTGTATTTAATCGTCATTTCGTAGATACAATGGTTACTGGTATGTAGTTCCCTTACATGTGCAAAAGTTAATATTGTTCCTATTGCAAAGAGGCACTAAAACTTTTAAGATAGTGATTGGTGGATTATTTGTGGGTTCCTTAGAAGGCTTGGCCACGGTAAAAATTAAATCAAAAGTTATTCGCTAATATATTTCGATAATATATTTCAAACGTTTGAAGAAAATATTTTTCATTGCAGCTAGTCAGCGCGTCATTCTCTTACTTCACATTTATTTATTGTATAAATCAATAACGTGCCATCTATAGTATAATCTTTAAACAGATTATAAATATAGAGAATTTTAATGATAATGTTGCAATGTATTATATGGATATTAAATGGAATAAAACTTGGACTTCGATATTATTAAATTAATGGAAAGAAATACAGATAATAAATAAAATTGTTCAAAATTTCAATATTTTCTATAGTTCTTATTATTTTATTGTAATTGTGCATGTTGATACAGTAGATTTCAAAAATATTCAAAAATTTAGCGTATTGTTATTGTATTAAATTTTAATACATTCTTTTGACAACACAAGTGGTGCAAAGTTAGAAGATTAAAAAAAAACAAATATTAAAATTTAACTTAAATATTAACATTGTGTAATTTACTAACTTGAATCTCCGATTGTCAATGTTAAGCAAATCATACGAACATATATACCAGACTGAAATAAGTGAAAATATGGTGTTATGAAAAGCGTTTGCGACTGCGCGATTTTTGCACAAAAGAAGTCCTCGAACATTTCCCTATGAGAAAAGATCATCTGTTAAATTGCTTTTAGTATGAAATTAATCATTTATTCCAGTGTTCCTATAGTTTATTTATGAACGTTCTCCCAAGAAAACTTCTTAAATTACATTATTTTCGATTTTCAAATTAATCATTTTCAAATTTTAAGAAGTATAACATTGATACAGGTAAAGAGTTTTCTGGAATAACTTGAAGATGTAACAAATTAAAAGATGAAAAATCGCTATTTTAGAAAAGTATGGAAACAAGGCGAAATATTATATTACTGCAATAATACGTAAGACAATGGTAGCTGACTCTTTTGTCTCAAAAATTAGACAAAAATTAGATAAAATGTAATCAAATGTACAAATAGTATTTTTTTATTATATATTTTTTTCAAAACGAAACAAGATTCTATCTTTTCTCAATAGAAAAAAATTTTTTAAATTAAAAGCTAATAAAGCTAATATTTGATTTATGTATATGAATAACTTATGAAATTTCTCTTAGAGAGAGTGTTTGGCATGTGCGATGGTACTTTTACTTTTCTACAAACTTGGTCATATATTCAACGCTTTAGTCTGCTTAATAACAATTCTCGATTAAATCTTTCGGTATATTAATATATTATGACATAATACTTTATTGTTCAAGAAAAATATTTTTACTTTATCACGCTACACGCATTAGCAGCCAGTTACATAAGATTAATTGGAAGTAATGTATTATATTGTATAATATTCATAGTCATTCAACATTTTACTTTAGAATTATTCAGATAATCTACTAAAGTAGTTCTATTAAAATAAGTTAAAAATGATATGTAAATTAACTAAAAAAGAAATAGAATAAAAAACAAAGAAAAACTGTTAAATTGGTACTATATATTCATTTTGTGTATTGTCAAAAATATTATATAATAAATTAATGTTCTTTATTTGAAAATATATTATTGATTAATTTGGATAAAAATCGATAATTTAAATAAATATTGTCCTTCGATTATTTTAACATTCTTCAACAGACAATATATTTCCTTACAGAATGAAATAAAAGAGGATACATTTGATTACAGGATGAGCACTTCAATATTTTACTTCACTGTTCTCTATTCTACAAGTACGAAATAATAATTACAAAATAATTAAGATAAGTGTGTATAAAAGTGAAAAAGATATGAGAAAGTAAGATAGGGGGAGTGAAAAAGAAAAAGAAATGTAAACTAATTTCGAAACCGTTTAGCCCTCGATTTTAGATGTCGCTTCCTGTAAGTAAGAAGTGTAAAATTATTATTTAAATAAAAAAAGTGACATATAAAATATTTATAAAGAAATATAAAATTAAAAATTGATGTTATATTAATGAGTCACAACATTGAAATATATATATGTAAGAAGGGGTTGTCCTGTGAAGTCTATTATCGCACAATTCCCTCGAAGTACATATATCTTTATGGAAAATAAACATCTGTTGTATTATTACTATAATCAAATCGATCGCTTAACCATACACCTCTTCCAGAAAAGCATAAATTACCATCACGTGTTTTTTGTATCCGACAATGATATTTCGTTCTGCATTGCATTTAAATTAACATAAACAATTCAGCTTAAAATTTTGTATAAAAAGTTTATATAAAAAAATTTATATAAAAAAGTATTTCACTGTATTTCAAGCACGTTAATATTTTTAACTTCATTAATTCAATGATTCGCATAATAAAAAAAATATTAAGTTCCAATTTGTATTGATTTAAATAATGTAACGAAGTGTATTAGAAAGGGCAATAGATTTTTCATATTTTTACTGTAATCTTTTTATTTATGGCGATTTAATGTTAGTATAATCGAAGATATAACATTATAATAACATATATTATAATACAAATATAAAAAAATTTAATTAAAAATCATGTCAATTTTTCTTTTGATTTTGTACTTGTATTAATTTATTATATATATTTAGAAAAAGCGATACTCTTTAAGAATTTTCTCATTGAATAAAAGAAACACTAATTTTAATATAATATGATGTGATATTATTTTTTATAATTTTTTTAGAATATTTATGACTCTAAAAATCAGATTTAATTAACAATGTTTCCTTTTTGTATTATTATTGTACATTCTATCTACAATAAAATATATTTCGTTTAGTAAAATTAAAATTGTATAAGTAAAATAATTATTTATATATGTTATATATATTGTACTAGAGGATCGTATAAAAAATTCCCGGAATTAATTATTTATAACACAGAATAATAATTAATTTTACAGAACACACAAAAATAATTAATTTTACCTTTTTTATATTTATATAACATTTTTTTTAAAGTAGTTCCCTTGAGTAACGCTACAAATTTACTAATGTTTGAAAACATTCCTAGAAATTACTTTCTGATATTATACTTTCAGTGTCTTATCGCATTTGGAATTGACTTTCTCAATACTCAACATGAATCGATGTTCTTTTATGTAAATCGAAATTTCATGTAATCAAAATTTCGTCGCGTCAGAAATGTAATGCGAAAGAAATATATATTATAAGAAAAACGAATGCAGTAAA